ATCGTTGAGCACCTCTGTGGTCAGTGAAAGCATGAGAGATGGACGAAGAGGGAAGGACTTGAAGGCTTTTTAACATTCATAATCTAGCGTTGGAGGAACACCTATATAGTTGGCTGTGTCTGCATCATAATGAGGAAAGGACATAGATCTACGCTTGGGTGTACTCTGCCTGAGAAGTTTAAAGTTTTCACAGTATGATAACCCCTTCTCATATTACATGCTGTGACGTACATTTACATATATGGTATAGCTGTGTCCATATAGGAAGATAACTCAAAAGAATAATATAACAAGACAAAAATCTTTGTTGACAGGCAAGTCATGGTGTAGAGCCTTGTGATAACTGTGGGTAGCGTTTGTTCACCATATAAGGAGAAGATGTTCGGTGGTTTATTCATGTTATTATTACCTCGCAACTCAATCATCCTATCGGTTGATTAGGTAGGTAGGATTTCAATTTTCAATCTTCAGTTTCCAGTTTTGAGACATATTGGATGGTGTTGTACCTATATGTACGTAATCATTAATAACTCGGGGTGCCTTAATGATTTCATATATGGATCTGTGCTAATTCGTCGGCCATTGCTGTTTCCATGGTCGAGGAAGACGTTACTTCCCCGTATTGGAAAGACCCAAGTTTTGTAATAGGGTAGGTACATACATGTAATTTCTCTCTCCCTCTCTCTCCCTCTCTCTCCCTCTCTCCTCCCCAATCACGGTTCCCTTTATGGCCTTCTCGTCTACCAACACTCCCCCTTTCCTTCACTCCTTGACTCAGCAGCTATCCCTGTATGGGCTGTCGTTTTGTATAATGACCACGAACTCACCCAATCCTGTCCACCAAAGCTTTTCTATCCTCCCTTCCTGCCCTTCTCGATTGCGTCTTCCGCATTCCGGCGCTTCCCGCCCATGACATTGCCTAGGGCGAGCTTGCAATACAATATTGTCCTTTTTAGGATGAACCTACCAAAGTGTCGGTGCCGTTCCAAGTAAGTCCCTTTTGGATATCCCCATCTACCATTCCGTTCTTCGAGCCGGATATTATCCTCTGTTATACTTAAGTCACAATCTGAGGATGTTACGGGCCTTTCCTTCGTTATCTAGGACCCGCTAACAAAGCAATAGGAGCACCGGCTCTCGACTAGAATGGTCGATATCACAACAGGAATATAGCGATGACGACAATGATAGCGAGCTCTACCTTCCTGGGGGCGGAGGTGTTTACACCACCAAAACCAAGGACGAAAAGCCAGAATTTGGTCGCAAGAAAGACAGACTGTTGAGAGATTGGGGCTTCGATTCTTTCGGCCAGGTATTAGGTCTTTCTTCTTACAAGGGCGTAGGGAGCGGTATTGGGCGGCAGGTTCGTCGTCGCATGAGTTTCAGCTCTCAATCCCACAGCTCGAACCCTACTACACCTTCGAGCTCGAGTTGCGGATTCATACCACGCGGAAGACCTAGCCAACGCAGCTACTCTTGCAAACGTGTAGCTTCTCCCGTGCCTATTGGGAAAAGCAGTCTCCGATCCAGTTCTCCTTCTGTTTCCACAACTATTAGCAAGGATAGCGGCAAGAGCAGTATTCGGTCTAATTCTGTTTCTACTCCCGTTTGGCCCTGTCATTGCGGCGATAGCCAGCTCAGTGATTCATATCATGGTGGAACATCTAAAGCAAGAGATACAACCTTTGTATCAAGCAATATCTATCCACCGACACCAGGGACGCCTCTTTCGTCACATTCTCCGCCTTCAATATGGAATACTGATAACAGCTTGCCTGCAACATCTAATGTCACAATTGTCCCAAACGCTGGAAGCCAAGAATTTGCTGCCCAAGCCCCTAACCTGGTTGCTCCTCTGAACTGGCTACCGTTGCAGACTCCCACAACGGCGGGTCACTATTATATGGAGTCTCCAGTCTTTCCGGGTCCTCAACCAGCCCTGATACCTTTTTACTTTCGAGACAATCAGTCTACGGCACAGCCTCCTGAAATTCGATCTCCTTGTTATCCCATTTACGGACCTCCAATCACATATCTACCATCACCAACGGAGCAACCGCGACATGAGGGAGGTACAGAAGCCTCGGATAATCCCTTGAAATTCAGTCCTAGCGAAGCTAAGAAGTGCGAAGAGCATTACAATGCAGCTTCGAAGGCCAACATACAAGGAATAAACAATAACAAAGGTAGGCTAGATGACAAGAAGGAGAAGGAGAACAAGGATCAAGAAGACATTGGCAAGCATATCCAACATATTCACTTCTGTGCAGGCTGTGGGCGAGTGCGGTCCAAGGAGTATCAGAAGGCGCATCCTTTGGAAAGAGGTCAAATCCCAGAGCGACAATATTGCTCTAGATGCCTGCGTGATGCCGCTCCGGTGGAAACTCACGAAATAGATAAAGCTCCCATCACCCCGGTACGTTACTAAATAATTCACCAGAAAAGTTTTTTTAAGGCTAACAACTGAATTCTAGGCCGCAAATGGGGACGCTGCTTCTATTGCCGGCACCAACGTATCTCGTACTCACTCAGGCAACAAGAAGAAATCAAAGACATGTCATACTTGTAGATGGCTGAAGTTGAAAAAGCCGAGACGTCTTAGCTTGTTATCAAGCATCCTATCTACTTCGACTACCTCGAAATATCATGCTAGGCCAACTCCGTCCGTGTCCTCCACCGGTAACTCTGAGTCCAATATCTCAGCACTTATCACAGATATGGATATAGGATGTGATGGAGTCGAATATCCTATTTCATTTATTGGAGAGGCATCCAATAAGATCTCTGATAATGCGCCTTCATCAAGATCCAATGTGTCTAGACATCCTCGGAGGGTTCATTCCAGAGAGAATAATGGATTTGTTCTGAATAGCGACATCCACGTCGCAAGCTCTAGCTCAACAACCAATCCGAACAGAGAGAAGCCGAAAAGGGCCGCAAGAATACTTGAACAGAATGGTTCCTTCAGCGATCTTTATAATTGGACACCTCTCAAAGTTCCAACCTCTAAGGGATACCCAAAAACTCCACCACGAGCCTCTTCTGAGTTTTCCGCTGAGGTCAGACCTAAGGCTTCAGTACAGAGTGTATCGGATTACTCAGAAGAAAGTAATGACCCGAGTTGCGAAGTTCGTGATAACACATACAAGGGCTTAGGCGAAGATGTTAACTATTCTAACACTATCAATGCGGCCTGTGGGACGCCTGAGGCCTTTTGCTCCAACGCTTTTCGCACCAACGCCAAGTTCAAGGAAACAAGCTGTATGGATCGTAGTTGGATTGATGCGTATAAGCCTATTCACGAGAACAAGCCAAAAGCTGGCATTTACGAACAACAGGAAACGCTTACACGCTCGGTGGCTGGATCCGAGCAATCCATTAGAGATTCGGAACTTGGCTGGCGAGGACATTCTAATCGTAGTCGAGTTCGACGACACCGGGGTCACATAGAGAAACATCATGATGAAATCCGAGGCTCGTACATGGACCGCAACACCGACACTGAACCGGATACACCGGAGGATCCTAACTATACTTTTAAGTGGCACCTGCCGCCTACGCCTACAGACATGCCGTATACTAGTCGAGATTTTGACCCATACTTCATGGGAGAGCCTTGGAGAATCAGCGAGGAGGAAATGTACCAGATGGAGCGCGAAGCCGAGGAGTTGGCTGAGCAGAATCTGGCATCGGCTGGTAAGCTCTTCGACAACATGACTACTCCCTTTGCCACTTCTGGCCCCTTCAAATTCCCTGTTCCAAGCTTTGTGACGCGCACAGAGTTCTCGATAAATACATACGATTCTAAGGAAGGACTCGACCCTAACATTCCTACCGCCACTATGTTTGAAATAGTTGAGAGTTCTGACTCGAGCGAGGCAGTTGACCAGGAGGTGAGATCGATCAAGACCTTGGGTAAGTATCCGAATAAGAGGATAACATATCCTGAGACTAGTGCATGCAGCTAATTCGACGTGTAGAATTCTCCAGCGAAGATGATCTTGATCATAAGGCCACTGCACGTACTCGCGGCCCAACCGGGTTGATGGACGATACCTCTCGAGACCCTCGAGGAGATCAATCTGAATCTTCGGGGAAGACATCTGGGAAGAATGCATACGGCTCTCGTATGAGAGAATCCAGTGGATCCTCGAATCCATTGTCTCTGAATGCTGAGTCCTCTACGGTTGTCCACACAGGCCATTCGGTGGAGAATCTGCGGCAGGTTCCGATCGACTACACTGACTCAACTGTCCCTGGAAGACGCCGACGCATCCGTCGTCCTTCATGCCTGTAGATTTGTACTTGATCGTTGTCATGACTGTTACTTACTATTGTGGTTGTATGCACAACCGTTGTCGCAATGTTTGCCACACGACACCAGCCACCGCATTGACGACCACACATGTGTTGAAATATTTGCCCTGCGGTCGGTATGGATGTGTGTGTTTTGGACGCAAATTGTCGACATATCGATTCCCCCTCATTTTTACCGTCGACTACTGATTCTATGCGTTTATGCTGCTGGGCTCGAGCGGTTTAAGGCATTATTGTCAGTAAGTAGTCATCATGGTAATGCAAGGAGAATCGCTTGCATCATTAGCTTATTTATACTGTACGGACTTTATCCATTCATTCTGCGGTTAGGTGTTGTTGATTTGCGGTATGACTGGCGGATTGTATTCTTTAGCTGCACGAGTTCACGGAGTCGTAGGGTAGACTACATAATGTTTAACTTATAAATTTAATTTTAATACAGTAGAATTAGCTATGCGCTTGGAGAACATAATCGCTGACAACATTGAAGTGATGAAAAATGAAACTATGTTATAGTAGGAAGTCTATCACTCAACTGAAAACTTTGGAGACTCTTGTGAAGGATCAAGGAGTGCTTCCACGCGAAAACGGCTCTTGTAGCAGCTTAGTTGGTATTCACGTGAGTGGGCAATGTAAAAAGCGCATATACTTACTATACGACCAAGGTTCTCCATCCGAGATAGGCCCGCTTGGCTCAGTGGTAAAGCGCATCACTAGTAATGATGAGATCACTGGTTCGATTCCAGTAGTGGGCAGTCGTGAAACTTTTTGCATCACCTTGCTAGTTAGGTCATTGATCCAAGAGCGCGTGACTGCCATATACTTTATTATGGATTTCAAAATAAAATATTGGAATTTTCAACGTTAACATCCTGGTTCGTCATGGTCCTAATTCCCCTACCATTTTCAAAGACTGTATTGCCGGTATGTTGCGGTTACCGTCCACTTATATATAAAACTAGTCGGTATCCTTATCCCTTCAAGGTTCTGTGATACTCTTTATTCATCATTCGGGCGGTGTCTACACGTTTTTACGAGTCATTACTCTGCCTGGATATCTGGAATCCGTCTATGGGTATATGTGTCTTAGGGAGTATACTCTTTTTCTCTTGCCTCGAATTTTGGATACCTGTACATGGCCAACCATTGACCTGAATTCCTCAGCTTAACCAGCGTGTGTAATGTGATGGTGGGCATCTTATATGTCACATAGTTCCCTGCTTTCATTTCAGCGCAATCCTCTACATCTGTTCAACCTCTTGGTTTGATTAATCTACTCTCAGCACCCTGGGTCCACGCTTCTTTGTCGCCTTCTTCTTCTTGTGCCCTCTTTCGAACGAGGCAGCTGCCGCGTGATCTCGACCCACGTTGTCGAGGTCCTTCACCTTGTAGATCCTGATGATCCAGTTCTCGCTGGTGTACGCCTCTTCTAGCGTGTTGAGCACTGGACCTTGGTCGGGAAGCCGGGCACCTCGGACACGGTCTTGAGCTTGTCCGGGTGGGAAAAGAGACGCATAGTTGTAGTATGACATCTTGTACCTAGATTGAAGGAAAAGAAGGTATTAGAGGCGGTCTCACTAGGCTGTAATGGAACAAGGACTCACATCAAACTATTCTTCATGGTGTCAGAGGCCTCGCCATCAACTCGATACTCGCCCCTAGCAGTGAAAAAATCACGTTCCTTAACCTCGTCAGGCCAGATACCTTCGGCGATCCTCACCATCCAGAGAAATTTGTTGATATCATCACCCGAGTAGCCAAGAAGACCACCGAAGACGACAAGAACGTAGTCAACTTCGTGCTGACGCATAATTGGATAACTGACTTCTTCTCGAGAACTCATGGCCTTACCGACGGTGGCAATGTGAGTATTGTTCCAGGTATTGTTATCGACCAGTGTGGGCCGATCAGCCATTCCACCAATTTGGTAGCCGTAGTCCCACCAGGACATAATCTTGGCATCCTCCTTAGTATTCTGTCGAAGCCACTGGTAAGCCTCACGGTAGTCGTCAATGATGTGTTGGCTACCATCGGGCATCCTGCTCGCCAATACAACAGAAGGAGATGAATAAGCGTTTGAGGTGACCCAGGTGCAGTGCTGTACGAAGATGAGTAGGTACAATGTCATACATCCAGCTACGAAACCTTTTGACAACAAGTTGTAAATGCCTACTACCGGTTGAGATGCGGTCCGCAGAACGCCATGTTTGGACGCCTTCTTTCCAGTTGAATCGAGGTTTTCCTCCTCGTTGTCAGCCGGCTCCGGCGATTTGACGACGAGATAGGCGTCAAGAAGTTGCGAGACAGCGATAGCAGCGGCTACACAAACCACCGGCGTCAGAGTAAGCATTAATCGCACCATGACACCGGCGAAATAGCTGCCAAACAAGGCGTACACGATGATGAACACATGTTCGTCTTCCAGTTTTTGGAAGCAGAGGTAGACACCGGCGGGGAAGAGCCAAATCAACATATTGAGGTCGAAAAAGAAAGCGGGCCAGGCGGTAGGTTGATGTTCGGACACGGACGCAATAATCGGAATATGGATCTTGGCATACCCGGTGTCCCAGAGAGAGTAGAACCGACCGGACCAAGGAGCGATGTATCCAAAGGTGGTAAGGCCGATTAGGGCCAGTAGTGAAATACCAAAGATACCACCCAAACCAACGTAGAGGAAGGTCTGGAATTGACGGCTTGGGACAGCCGAACGGACATACTCCAGGAATGCCACGAGCTGAAGGAACCCGAAGATACCAAGGGCAGGCATATGCTCGCTGGTGCGGACCGGTAGGAAACCGACGAATGGAATCTGCATGCTAGCCAAGGTGCCGAGGGCATACCAGGTAGTGTATGAGGTGTAGAGGCGCATGCTGAATCTGCCCATGCAGATAAGTACAAAGGCATGCAAGGGAACCAAACACGTAATGAAGGCATATCCACCCCACGAAGCTACCATGTAGCCGTAGAACAGGGCGCAAAGAGCACCCCATAGCACGGAACCTAGCTTTAGGGCTTTGATCCAGAGATAGAAGGTAAACACTAGGAGGAAGATTGCAATAGCTTCATTATCGTAGGAACCAGCTACGGATCTCGAGATGTAACCTGGGGCGATACCCATGAAAGCTGCAGCGAGAAGACCGGCAGACGGGGAGGTGGTCATCTCATTGGTTAGGAGGTAGGCGGCAAAAGCGGTCAGGCCAGAGAAGGCCGGCGCCAGAAGGACACAGATATTGCGAATGTCGACGGGAACAGTCAAAGCTCGTAGGAGATGGTAGATAACGCCGCTCGTGACCATCAAACCGGGATACAGAGTGCCTCCGGTAACTCGACCGAGGGGATGCCATGTTCGGTCGTCAAACCAGTCCCAGAAGTCATAGAATCCATGAGCAACGAGGTACTTTGTTGCTCGGAAGTTGAACCACGGGTCGACTGCGAGCAATGTTTGGGTTAGAAGGGATTAGGTGGTAGGATATATTAGGAAGGGAAGAAGTTAACTCACACTCGTGGATGATACTTTCGAAGCCTATGATAAATTATTAGCAGATATCACCGGCATAATAAGGGAAGAGTAGGCAAGAGTAAGCAACGCACGTATGACGGAGAAAAGTCGACTTGCAACGGCGGCAGCGGCAATAAAGCCTAGAATAATAACCCGTAACAAAGTCTTAGTGCTCTGGTTCTTGCCAACGTTGACGAGCAACTCGACAGGCGAAGAGCTAGGCCTGGCGTCTCTTGCGACGGCAGCCATTTTGGGGATTGGTTGCCTTGAGACAATGCAACTAGGCGGTAGACGGTATCAACATTTGAGAAGAGTGAAGTGTTGTTGGTCTGGAAGTTGAATTTGGTCGAACTCGGGCCACAATAGATAAAACGGCGAAAGTGCATGTGGTGATTGAGGACAGCTGGAGCTTTCAATCCGCGCGTCGCATCTGCAAAAAAAAGAGCTCCACGTTTACAGGGGGTTCCACCGTACCTAGGTATGTACATACATGTACCAGGTAATGTGAGCATGAAGTTTACGCTGTTACGTAAGGGGTAGCAGCCGGTAAGGGCTACATGTATGTAACCAATCTGCCAATTAAGAATGAGTACATGTACATACCTTAGCGCACGTAAGTACATACATGTATATAATGTATGATTATATACATGTCAATTCCTATAAATATAGACTTATATATATCCCTTTTAAAGATTATACTAATTCGTGAACTAGATAGACTCCTTTAATTCACTTATAGAGCATATCTGGGAGAAGCTTTTGTTTGAACGTTTTGAATCAACGTAGAAATGTGGATTTCGTGGACAAGCTGAATAGAGTCCAATTTACGAGGTGGTCCTTCACCTTCGTACTTCTAACCATCATATATGGTTACATGGATATTGATAGTTGATCCAATGTCCCGCGATGACATTGTGTAGGTCTCTTCTATCGGAATCTCTGTTAAGTTCATCGTTGGCATATGGAAAGATACGCATGGTATTGGAGATGTGGATATTAACGAGTAAAGGTAATTATGTAGAAAATCACTCAAGGAAATCGAACTTAGTCGTAAAGAGTCGTGTCATGAGAGTTATGCATGAACAGGTCATCTCAATGGTCTAGGTGAGCGTAAATCTTGGTATTGTACACATGTACAGCGTGAAACCCAAGGAAATCTATGAGGTACTTTTGCGGACCGTATCGCAATTATACACGGGGCCCGCGAAGCCGTCATCGCCGGCACGACTTCGATCCAACTTTCAACCCCGAGTTCACTCCCAGCCCTCTCTGTCCCCAGACTCCATCGTATCCCGCAACGCAGTCGATCCGGCATTATTAATACATCCCTATGGCTTTTGCGCAACGAGAGCGTTGAAGTAGGCTTCTAAGTCGAACTTGGGATCCATTGGGTCTTGGTTCACTAATGCAGCCGTCAGTATTCGGTTGACTGCCGTTCGCCAGAGAATGGGAAAACATACAGCCGCTCTTCTCGGTTGTCGTATCTGCCGGACGCTTAGACTTTGCATACTCGGCCTTGGCTTGCTCTATTAAGTGTTGCTTGTGCTCATATTCCTTTTGTGCTGCAGCGGCCTTTTGCGCTGCGTTGATCGATCTCTGGTGGGTGAAACCATAGAAAATGCCCAAGGCAAGGGCTGAGTATCGGAGTACCTGTAAACATTGCTGTTAGCTATGCCGTTGTGCAGCTCGGGCATACGGCACGAGAATCATACGTTGACTCCTGACGTGGTAGACATTGGGTCGGTTTAGAGCGCGAACGCTTGTGAGAGAGGACGAGCGATCAATTAGCGATGCACGGGTAGGCGTTCGGATGCCAATTGGCCCTGTACCGGGGGAGGGATTGTCGAGGGTTGAGGTTCAAGATAGGAAGTGGAATGGTGAGAGCGTGTTACGGGGGTATGGACGGCGTCGGGAAATTTCGCATACTTATTTTTTTTTTTCTTTCAACCAACCTAGCAGAGAGAGAGAGAGCCACAGCTGTTACTGCTGGCACGACCTACATAACCTAACGATATCGATACCTAGGTACATGCGGTGGTACCTCCCCGAAGCTCAGTAGGTGGAGCCTAAACAAGCGCGTAGCATTAAGTATAACCCAATCATATTCATATAACAGATAGAGTTGTAGGTATCGGCCTAAGTATTGCATAGCACCGGAGGTACATAAAGTATAGAGCCTACAAATAAATTAAGTGGGGTACATGGATGCCACCAGTGTCGCGATGCCCCCGAACAAAGAAACGCGCATCGTTT